CCGTACAGACAGAAAAGTGCTAAAGTACTAGACAGAAAAGTGTGTTGGAGCCCCACTAACTCTGCCCAATTTTTGTGAACTGAGGAAAGCGTATTTAATGAATAAAATAAGTTTTATTGGTGATGTCAACTCTATGCCAAGAATAGAAAGTTGTGGGTGATCATAAATGAAAGAGGGGGTTCCTCTCTACATATTTAAATATATGTTTATGGGAGAAAATAAAATGCACCATTACAGAAATAGGGAAGTGGTAACTTCAGATCACAGGAGATTTAAATGGAATTGCATGAAGATTAATTTAAATGTTAGGAAGATTACCAAAATTGTATGTTACTTCATTTTATGCATTCTTCACACATCCATCCTATAAGGAGCCTTCTTTCCCTGTGGATACAGATCATCTAGAAATGAATTCCTATGGCAGTGAATGTCATAGATAGTAAAACCTGCCCCACTGCACAGAAATGATAACAACTGAACAATGTCCTACACACGCTTCCTCAGTGTGACCTTGTGTGTCACAAGTATTTGACTCTCACGATAAAGTATGTATATCTATTTCAAGTATTTTAATTGGGACACAGCATTATCTGCAGGAAGAACATAATTTTCCAGTTGATAATTTTATACTTCTAAATTTATTAGATATCTAATAAACTTACAACAGTTCTTACAAGTTTGCCTAAAAGGTAGCCAAGTCTCATTTAAATAGTACGTAATACTTACTGTTCCTGAAGAAAACTGATTTGCATCAACATTTTAAGTCTGTCAGTGAACATCTACTTCAAACTCTTTTACAGATATAAGCCATTATATGATCGAGGAACATCACTTAATTTTTCAGTTTATTTTGCAACATTGTCTTCAAAATCTTTGTGTGTCTCTACTTGTGACTCAACTCCTAATAGTTAAGATAGGAAACAGTCAAGGTTTCCATCAATGGATGGATGGATAAAGAACATTTGGTATATATAGTCAACAGAATATTATTCAGCTATAAAGGTGAATAATTTTGACATATTATACATTCTTCATCTTTTAGATTTAACTAGTAGATATCATATAGGTGAAATAAATCCCCAAAAGGAATACCTATATGTTCTCACATATGGAAGATGTAAAGATAAAAACATAGATGTCATATAAGTAGAGAATAGCATAAGTACTATCGTGGCTGGGAAACATAAGAGGATGGGGGCATAGAGATAGGTTGCTTATTAGGTATGAAAACACCCTTATAGAAAAGAGTCCGTCATGGTAGTGCAAGTCTTTAATCCCAGCTGCTTAGGAGGTTGAGGCAGGAGGATCACAAGTTTAAGGCCTGCCTCAACAATTTAGTAAAACTTTGTCTCAGTAAAAACTAAAAAGGGATGGGGATGTAACTCACTGGCAGAGCTCCTGTGGGATTAATACCATGTATGAAAGGAAAGGAAGGAAGGAAAGTGTAAAGGAAGAGTATAAAATCTGGTATCTGTAGCACCAGAGGGGACTATAGTTCTCAATAATTACTTACTTCAAATTACCTACTTCAAAACAGCTCAAAGAATGGATTTTCAAAGTTCCCAATGCAAATAAATGATGAATCTTGAAGGTTATGGGTACCAGATTTTCCTGACTTGATAATTCCACATTGTGTACATGTTCTGCAATGTCACACCATATAACATAAATATTCCAATTAAAAATACTTATAAAAATTTTAAAGGAGACATTTTCCATGACATGTACATGATATTTACCTGAGTTTAATAGTTTATGCATGTTCAATGATTCCATTATTTACCTACACTTATGGTGAAATGTAAAGATTAGTTAATATAAAACACATTCTCCTGTTATTAAGATATGTAAACAATAATCATGATAGAGCACAAAGAAATTTTATTTTCTGTGTAAGAAATAATATGTCCCTTGGCTCCATTGGAGAGAACAGGCCCCTGTTCTGGGTTCAGGAGATCGGTAGGTGGCCCTGATCTTTCTTCTCTCCACCTCTCTGTGCTCATGTTCCCTACTGGAAATATGGATATTAACACCCATATCAAGCACTTATGTAGAAACTGATGCAAGTTTGAGGCTTAACAACAAAGTGGTTATTTTTAATGAAGAATTCAATCACTGTGGGGATAGCCAGTTTATTGATGAACACAGTCTCTTGGTGAAGTTCATGAGACATGGAGTGACTTGAAACCCTCCAGTGACTCTGAGCCCGAGCAATAGGGTTCACCTATCTTTTCTCCTTGTACCTCTACTTTTTTATGTTCATGGAATTTTCTTCTATGACTTTTGAATAACTCAGTGTTACTATGTTTTTTAAATAATGAGTCCCTTGTTTCCAATACATAGACAAAAGCATTATTTTATTTTATCTCTCGTCCTCTGAGATGTCCCTGGAAGGAGGAAAGCACAGGCATAAATGGCCAGAGGGTGAGTAGCCACCCGCCATGCTCTGTTTCTATGGACTAAGGAAGGGTCTAACAGTATTTAACAAGATTTTAATCCTTGATGGGTGTCATGTGCCAAGCAAGGTGTAGGTTCTGGGAAACCAGAATGATACACTTTGTAATTTCTCCCCAAATATTCAGTGTTTACTCACAGAAGGACAAAAACGAAATGTCCTACAGGGAACTGGGAAAACCATAACTTGATGTCAGAGGATATATAAGTCAAAATATAGTGATCAGCCTAAATCTCAATGGCAATAATAATAATGATATCTCATATTTCTCCTTATTGTATGGAGCTATCACATATTAATCACATAGGGAGCATCCAGTATCTTTTAAATCTATATTCAATGCAGTTGTATCAAGTGAAAATCCAGACACATAACAATGCTGGGTCTCAGACACATTAACAAACTTCCATATGTCTCAGAAATAGGTGGAGATATGAGGACTCAAATCTAGATGGTCTCTGTCTGGATCCAGAGCAGGTAAATTTTTAATTGTTTCTCAACCAACACAAAGATTTAAGTAGAGATCATCCTGGGCAGTCTATCTTACTGTTTCTATGTTCCTGAGCATAAATAAAATCATCATCTGGTTTTCTATTTCCTTTTGAATTTTTTTTTTGTACTGGAAATTAAAACAAGGGCACTTTGTCACTGATCCAAATCCAGAACCTCCTCCTCCTCCTCCTCCTCCTCCTCCTCCTCCTCCTCCTCCTCCTCCTCCTCCTCCTCCTCCTCCTTCTTTAATTTATTTAAGACAGGGTCTCACTACGTTGGTTAGGGCTCACTAGTAGCTGGGACTGGCTTTGAACTTGCAATCATCCCGACTTAGCCTCCCTAGCTGCTTGGATTACACGTGTGGACCACCACCACGACTGGCTTCTGTCTCCTCTTGAGATTCAGCACTGTTTACAAGGAAGAGGATGCAGAGATTGCTAAGGTATTGTGAACTAGGGACAAAAGAGACCTGAATTCTCAGGATGAATTATTCTGCACCCACACTCTCTGTGACCTTTGCCCACCACCTGAAGTCATCCTTTCCACAGCAGAGGCTGCAAGTTCCAACCACCATTCTCCCCTGAGGGCTACAAGAACCTCAAAAGGGAAGAACACAGTGAACAAGGGTCTCTTCCTAGAATGACATGGACAAAAACAGCTGGCTTGTTCGTCAAGGCTCAACCTGCCAGGATTTTTCTGATATGATGCTCAGTTTCTCTAATCAAGCAGGAAAATTCAAACATGATTTCAGATTCTCTACTTAACCGTGTAGTCTGTTCAACATAAAACCAAAACCAAAAACAAAAACTTGGCTCTTTCTCTTTCTGTATGATGATTACAATCTACAGTTATATCTGAGGGAACTCTATGGAGATAAAGTGAAACAGACTCCACAGGACACGGAGCTCAGGGTGCGGCATCAGAAGCCCTGAATAAGGCTGCATGAGGTTTCCAGGATGTCATTCCACTTCATCTGTGTCGTCACCTTCATTATCTTTTTGGAGTGCCCAGGAGGCAGGTTGGAGGGACCCATCTTCTGCTCTCATGGGTGAGATGTCAACAGACAGGAGAATCAGCATCAAAGGAAAGCAGAAATTTGCCTGGCATTACCAGACTCCCACCACAGCCAGGCACCAAAACTTGACATTCCTCAAAGATTACATTCCTCTGAGTATTTCCATTCTACCATCAGGCTTCCCCAAATGCTATGTCTGTCCTGAAGACGAGGAAGCAACACCCTTAATGGTCCTTTCCCACGCATCCTCACCCTCAGCCCTTCCTGAGTGGTGCTGTCTCTGCTGGGTCATGCACACAGATGAAGGATGCATGTCCCTCTGTGCTCCCTGTCTAATGAAAGCTTGGGCTCTGTCCTCAGGATGGTAGGAATGCAGTGTGAGATAAGGGCTTCCCAATCAGACAACCATGGGAGGAGAACACAGGGTTGGAGCCCAGTGGCCCAGAGCCATCACACAACGGCCTAGGAGCACAGGCTGATTAGTGATTATAATAGGACATTGGAGTCTCCATGCACAGAGCTCATCATTGGCCAAATGGATTCATGTTATGCAAGTCTCTAGGGACTTCCTAATAGTAGCCAAGCAAAAAGAAGAGTAAATGACCATCCACACAGATTTTAGACTCTTCTACTACTAAGGAGGAAGCCTCTAAATTTAATATTTTTGTTTATTTTTAAAGAGTCAACTTCATTATGTTTCCATAGGTGATTGTGGTAAAAAATAGTACATAAAACAATTGCCATTTTTACTATACATTGCCAGTGGCATTAATTACAAACACAGTTGCACAATTATCACCATCATGGAACTCCGCAAAATATTTCAATTCCCAAACTGAATTTTGAACACATTTTTAAAAAGCCCCTTTCATACCTCTCCCATAAGTGTCAAAACCCATTCTATTATCAAGCTTGCTGAGGAATTAAAGTACACAAACTTAAGAAATAATGTGACCAAGGACCCTGGGCTCACCAGCTTTAAGCATGCTTTTGTTCACTTTTCCCCTTTGTCCCACATGGATGCCACAGGTCCTGAGTTTACACTGTTCTGATGTTCAGTCTCCTGAGGGCACTTTTAATGTCCCTGTTCCTCAGGCTGTAGATGAAGGGATTCAGCATGGGGGTGACCACAGTGTACATCACTGAAGCCACCACACTGTTTTGGGGAGAATGTGACATAACTGAACCAAGGTACTCTACAATGCCTGCTCCATAAAATAGACAAACAACTGCCAGGTGAGACCCACAGGTGGAGAAGGCTTTGTACTTCCCCCCTGAGGATGGGATCCTCAGAATGGAGGAAAATATCTTAGAGTAAGAGAGAAGGATTCCCGAGACAGGAAGAAAGCCAAATATAGCACCAATAAAATAAATGACTATGTTTCTGTTAAAGGAATCAAAACAGGCAAGATTAAGAATTTGAGAAGGGTGACAGAAGTAATTGGAAATTTCCACATCCTTGAAATAGGCAAACTGTAATGCAATTAAAGTGTGTATCTGGGAGTCCAAAAGGCTAATTAAAAATGACATCAAAACCAAGATGGTACAGAGACGGGGGTTCATGATAATGGAGTATTGCAGGGGGTGACAGATGGCCACAAACCGGTCATAGGCCATCACAGTCAGAAGCATGTCATCCATACATCCAAAAATGAGAAAAAAAGACATCTGTGTCAGGCAGCCCACATAGGAGATGGCTCTGCTGTGAGTTTGGATATCCACAATCATCTTTGGGACCGTGGTGGAGATGAAGCAGATGTCAGCCAAGGACAGGTTGGAGAGGAAGAAGTACATGGGGGTGTGGAGGTGGGAGTCAGAGCTGACGGCCAGGATGATGAGCAGGTTCCCAAGCACTGTGACCAGGTACATGGACAGGAACAGTCCAAAGAGGACAGGCTGCAGGTATGGATCCTCTGAGAGGCTCAGGAGGAGGAATTCTGATATAGATGTTAAGTTTTGGGGTTTCACATTTTTTGGACACCTTTTGAATTGGAAAATAAGGCATTAAAATAATGATTAGATTAAAGAAACAAAATATCAGGCACCCAAAACTCTGTGCATGTTTTGAATTTAAGAACTCTCAACTGAAGTGTTCACATAGATTTCTATATATCTTCAGGTATATTTCTGAGTTTTAAAATTTTGGGTTGTTATTATTCACCACACTATATATAAACTTACTTTAGTGATACTGATCAAAGCAATGTTAGAAGACCAAGAGAATTACAGATAAGTCCATGTTCCCAGAAAAATGCAAACTACTGTTCAAAGAAAAGTAGAAAATAGGAATTACTTTGCCATTGTAGGAAAAGAATAATTGCCATGTAAGAAATTATCAAATATGGTTTTTTTATGTATTATAATGGAAAAATTTCCCTTCCTTAAAATATTTATATATCCTGATACAACTATGTTATTTGAATAGTTTGTTATCAAAAAACATTGTTATTTAACAGTCATCTCCCACGAGTTTTTAATAATTCTTTTTTTAAATTATTTTATTTGTGTTAATGAGTTATACATGACATTTATGCACTGTGTCCTCTTTTGTGAATATGTAGGCTTTATCCACATTTTTGGCTTTTTAAAAATTATTTGATGTAAAAAAAATACTAACCCTGGCTGTGATGATCTTCACATGTTGAAGGTTTGGTTAAGTGACATAGTAATAAGACATCATAATCACAAATGTGTCATTAGTATACAATTAAACTGTCAGTCAATAGTTAAAGATAATGCAATGTTAAGAAACTCTTTTTTAAAAATTTTAAAATATTTGCCAGTTATTTGTTTTTGGTCCAGTTCCATATTATTTCATCATGATGCATCAAAGGAAGACAGAGGATTTTCTCTTGATTCTTATTCTACAATGGCCTATTAACACTGCTGCATTATATTTTTCCTGATCATGACATTTTCATTTGAAAACATTAGAGCCAAGAAAGGGCCCCCAAATTAAATGTAATTTGGAAGTTGGAACCTCTTTGTGCCTAGTTAATAGATTTCACTTACCTTTCTGCATAATTACTATGCACAATGAGGACCTCTAACTGAGGCCTGATTTGTGGTCTGCAGGTCCCCTATTTTAGCTACTGGAAAACAACTCAAGTATGTTATATGTATCAGCTCAATCCATGATGTCATGTGGAAAACACAAAAACAAAAGACCAGAAATTATGTGCAAACAATGATGTGGTTTTCTCATCTTTAAAATACAAATAATAATTATCCATTTAACAGGGTTTTGGAAAGAAAGATTTTTTTTGAATGAGATTCAGATGAAACTCAATGTGTCAAATATGCATAAATAGATAAATTACCATATCAAAAGGGGACTGTCAACGATCATTATGAAGGCAATAGGACCAGATGGTTTTTAGGGGTTTTTTAAAATTTTTTTTTAGTTATAGATGGACAAAGTATCTTTATTTTATTCATTTATTTTTATGTGGTGCTGAGGATCAAACCCAGTGCCTCACACATGCTAGACAAGTGCTCTACCACTGAGCCACAACCCCAGCTCTGGACCAGATGATTTCAAAGCTGAGTTCTAGGTAAGGTCTTCATTGTGCATGTTAATTATGCAGAATGGTGAGCTTCTCTGTTGCACACTTGTGCACGCACATACCATAATTTGATCTGTGCCTCCCCTTACATCTTTTCCTTAGTATCACCAATCCCTTCTACCCTCTTTGCATTTCTATTTTGTAAGCAAGATGTGTAAAAATCTCCTAAGTTGACTGGATCTCAAGTTTCATTTATCAACGTATGTACCTGTGTATATTTTATTTTATATTGATTTTATAGTTTCACTCCAAATCAATTTTGTCAAAATATCTGCATTTAAAGGGCTTGGTGGTCCTCTTTATATCAGCTTTGAGAATCACTGCTTTGAAATTACCAGGCACTTAGTAAATGTTCCATTAATACTACCTGTTATTACTGGTAATAGTAACCACTGCATATGTTAAATACAAACATTTAATAATGTGTGCTTCTGATCTGACACACACACACACACACACACACACACACACACACACATATATATACACACACATATCTGACATATATCTATGTGCTGGAGAACCACTGTGGTGGAAGGAGAAACATCTAATGAGATTCCTGAGACCCTGAGCACAAACCAGAATCCAAGTTTCCCAGTCTTCACAGCCTAGTTGATTCTCACTGCTGTCCTCTCCTCTGGGTGCACTGACTGCATGCTTGTCCTGGTGCTTAGGAGACAGCCCTCCAACGCTGGCTCCTCATCCCTCATCTCCCTCAACACTTACCCGATGATGCTGGGCCTCTGCTGGCTCATGGCCCTGGGCTGAGGATCCAGTGCCCCTCCTTGGCCAAATCACTATCTGAGACTTGTTTTCTGTCCTCGGGATACAGATGAAGACAGTGACTGACAGGATCTTCCTGAAGCAGACAAATATTGGAGGAGACCCAGGAATGGACCCTCTGGACTGGCATGATAAAGCTGAAGGGCTGGAGAGAAACCAATTACTATTATATGACCTTGGAGGCTCCATGCACAGGGCTCATAATTAGGCAAATTCGTTCTTGTTCTCCAAATCTCTCAGGACTACCTAAGACTAGTGGAGGAAAAGAAAGAGAAAATGGATGAGCCCTTACATTGCTGGTGAAACTGCAAACTGGTGCAACCACTCTATATAGTAGTGAGGAGATTTGTCAGAATACTTGGAATGGAACCACCATTTAACCCAGTTATCCCAGTCCTCGGTTTAAAACCAAAGGACTTAAAATCAGCATACTAGAGTGAGGCAGCCACATCAATGTTTACAGTATTTATTCACAATAGATAAGCTATGGAACCAACCTAGTTGCTCTTAAATAGATGAATGGATAAAGAAAATGTGATTATATATATATATATATATATATATATATATATATATATATATATATATAAATATTACTCAGCCATAAACAAAATGAGATTATGGTATTTGCCAGTAAATGGATGGAACTGAAGACTGTCATGCTAAGGGAAATAGGTCAATACCACCCTCAAAAAGGTCGAATGTTCTCTCTGATATGCAGATGCTAACACATAATGGCGGCAGGGGCGTGGAGGGAAGAATAGAAGTTCTTAGAGGCTGGGGATATAGCTCAGTTGATAGAGTGCTTGCCTTGCATGAACAAGGCCTTGGTCTAATCCCCAGCACCAACAAAAAGAACAAAAAAAAAATAAGTTCATTGGATTATACAAAGGGGAATGAAGGGAAGTGAAGATGGATGGGAATAGGAAAGACAGTGGAATGAATCAGACATAACTTTTCTGTGTTCATATATGAATACATGACCAACGTAACTCCACATGATGTTCAACCACAAGAATGGGATCTTGATTAGAATAAGTTATACTCCATGCATGTATCTTAAAATACAGCCTAATATCAAACACACAAACACACAAAAAAAATTAAAAATGAGAGGGGGAAAATGGATGAGCCCTTAAGGCAATGACCCCTTCCTGTCCTCAGCAGGACGCTGTCCACATCTCCAGTGACTGTTATTAACACCTAGGAGTTGCACACTTCACGGGGTCCAGTGCCACATTTGGATACCTGCATACAGGGTAGCTTGGTCCCTGCCTTTCATCCTTCCTCCTTCTCCCCCTGTGCAAACAGGCTTCCAGTTCAGGGTCATCACTATTATAGTTTCCACATATCGGAAAGAATATATGACACTAGTCTTTCTGTGTCTGGTTTATGTTTTGAAAGACCTGTCTGCATCTTATTTCCATTAGTGATTATGGGTAAGTATACACTAAATATCACAATTTTCTCCATGCTTTTGTCCAATATCTGTGGGATTGATTACATTCCCATTGTTGTGGCACCATCAGGGACACCCATCTCCAGGGATTTTCATCATCCCAAATTGAAACTTTGGGCCTATTCTAAAGTCTCATCCTTCTCCCTCCCCTAACCTGGCTACCTTTATTCATGATGAAACATGGTGGGAATTAAATACCTCAAACTATTACTAAAAACTCCATTCTTGCCCCCAATACTAATTCAATAATGAAGATGCAGTTTTGAGAAAAAGGGGAAAAGAAGTTTTATTGCTTTGTTTGCAAAAGAGAAGTACAGGAGATGCTTGTCTCAGAGGCTGTGATTCTGCCCATCAAAGGAAACATGGGGATTTTTAAAGAGGTGGTTGAAAGGCTACTTTCCATGTCTTCTGTCTGGAGTTGTAATTCACTTGTTAATGTGGGAGACAGTCATTTCTGAGATCTTCTGGTGCCATCCCCAAGTCTGAATTACTCTGTCCCTGTGGTGGGTGTGTGCTGGAGGACAGAGAACTCTTCCTGGGATGGGGGAGAAAGGTCATCCTGTTTCCCTAGAGATGAGGGAGGGAAGAGATTCGGGAGGACCAGGTAGAGAGGAAGAGAATACAGCAAGGGCTCTATTCACAGCATAAATTGAACCACTGTTATAATATTTTGCTGTGTATTTTAAATCACCTAGAACAGTGTATTTTTAATGTTCCCCCCAAAAAACGTAATGATGAATATTTGAGGTGATGGGTACCACATTTTTCTGATATGATCATTCTACATGGTTTACATGTTTAAAATGTGACACTATTATCATCGGGGTGTCTAGTTGTGTTGTAGGAAATAGACTAGACAAGAAGCAGCAAGCAGAGCCCGGAGCCCAGGCAGGCCCAGGACAGCCTGGCCGACACCTGCCTGCACTGGGTTTGAACTGCATCTTTGAACACATCGCCCAATGCCACTGCTTCCCCTACCCGACCTGACATTCCATCACTGAAAGCAGCCACCTCCATTTTGGGACAGCATTGCCATCTTTAGTTGTGGCAACTCCCAGCTTGGGACACCAGCTGGGCAGGCATCCGTACTCCCCAGCTCCCCCTCTCCCTGACTGTCCAGTACAAAACAGCTCTCCAAGACGGTTTGCAGCCTCTGGAGTACAATCCATAAGACCCCCCAAGAGAAATGTCCCTGATTAGGAAGTAGAAAGGGAGAGGGTGTCAGTGTCCTTGTTATGGGGAGACACCTCAGAAAGCAGCCCAAATTCAAATCAAAAGAGAGCTTTATTTACCTGGCCAGGGACTGTCACCCACCTCAGAGGCTCAAACTCTGTGGGAGAACAGCAGCCTCCTGGTCCATCCAAGGAGAATATAAGCACAAAAACCACAGCTCAGTGACTTGCTTATCATCATGTGAGCTACCCAGTCACAGAAATGAAAACATTAATAAGTGGGACCTGTGGGCTCTGGGCAGGCAAGTTATAAACAGAAACTAAAAAAGCATTAGCTTTGTAGATCAGTTGACCACAGTCCTGGGTTCAAGCAGGTTCTAGACAGTCGTATCTTGAATGTGCAGGTGTCAGTGGGCAAGACTCTACTTCAAAGCCATGTAGACCCACAAGGGTATGTAGCTCACCACGACCACTGACCACCACTGCATCCTGAGTATGGTACAGTTTTTCGGGTACAAAGCACAGAAAGACAATTTTTATAAGAAGACAGATTTCATTTCAGTTTCTCAGGAACAGCTCTTGTAACAGTTTTTGTTTGTTTGTTTGTTTTTTACAGAAGGCAGCAAAATGGAGTCTTAGGGTGTCTATGACAGTTCTTACTTTATAAGTCCTGGAAAGCTGCCAGTGGTTGTGGGAAGCCATCCTGACACATGACTGGGCGACTCCCGTTAAGGGTCTGAGGCTTCTGGCTGTGTCGGAATTTTCCCGGCCCTTTCCTGATGAGAGAACCCGTCCGTGTGGGGGTGTGACTGACCACTGACCCCGGGGGCCCAATCACTGACCCTGACCTTGGAGTGCAGTCCCCCCTCAACCTTCATTGGATGGAATTATCCCCTGAATTTCTTGTTCCCCAATAAAAGGCTACTCCCTGGCGTGTTCACTCTCTCTCTCTCCTGCTAGCCCTGAGTAATCCTTGCTGCCCTGCTGGGCGGTTAGAGGTCGGAGCCAGAGAGGGGAGCCGTCTCGGACCTGGCAATAGAAATAAGGTAACTGAGTCTGTGTGTTTTATTTCGATCTCTTCTAACTAACTTTATGCCTAGAACCTCATTAATGAAACCATTGCGCAGGCCGCGTGGTAGAAGTGGTGGCTTCCTGTGTGGTGATACCACACTGGTACAGCTTGGTCCTGAACTTCAGCAGGCTCTGTATGCACCAGCACTGCGAAACTTATCTCACTTATCAAAATCTTATATTTATGATCTATATTTATTACTGATATATATATATATATATATATATTTGTTCTAATCTATAACCTATAAGTTACACTCTTATTGATTGTATTTATCAGTTCACACCACAACATCCTTACCACTAGGTACCAATCATGCATACATGATGCGCATGTCTCCTATCCCGAAGTTCATCTTGGGTGTAGATGTGTTTCAAAGACTGTGACTGCAGACCATAATGGGGCAGTTCCATCTCCGTGTGAAAATTGTGAAGGAGGTTTTGATAGGATATGACAAACACCCACCCCAGGTCTTGCCACAACCCTGGAGGACCCTGGTGGTGAAGAATTACCACTTCCCAAGGGGACATGCAGAAATTGGAGCTACTCTCCTGGAATGGGAGAACGTGGGCATAATATGACCAATGTAGAGCCTCTAACTCTCCAGGGTGGCCAGTTAAGAAATTTGCTGGTCCTTGGAGAATAACTGTGGATTCTTGAGAACTGAATGAAATGGCTCCTTCTCTGAATGCAGGGGTTCCCTCAGTGCATGATCTCAGGGACCAATTGACTTTTCAACTGGGGAGATGTTGTTATGTGCTGAATATTGCTAATGCTTTCCTTTCTATTGTTCTGAACTTGTAAAGTCAGGAGCAGTTTGCCTTTACCCAGGAAGGCTAACAATGGACACTCAAGTGTTGCCACAAGGTTATTGACATAGCCCGACCATATGGCATGCTCTGGTAGCCTGTGGACTCAACTGTCCACCATACATGTTTCATTGTATTGCTGATGTGTTGACTTCTGACTCTCTTGCAGACTAAGAGCTTGTGGCCCCAACTTTAGTGACCCACTTGGAAATGTTTGGGCAGGAAATACAGCCAATGTGCAAGGACCTGGCTTGTCAGTCAAGTTCTTGGGTGTGACTTGGTTAGGTAAGACAAAGGTTGTGCTTGAAGCTGTTATTGATAAATCCAGGCATAGCCCCAACCAACAACAGTTAGGCAATTGCAGACCCATATGGGCTTATTGAGTATTGGCAAGTTTTTATTCCCCATTTGGCCTAATTGGTTCATCCTGTCTATGCCCTAGTGAACAAAGGGGCACAGTGGGACTCAACGGAAGTAGCTGAACAGGACTTTTAGATCATCAAGAGAGCCATTTATCAAATTCAGTTCCTGTAGGTAGTAGAGTCAGCTCTCACCTTTAGGCTGGAGATCCAAATAGCCTAGGACAGTTTTGGTATGGCCTGCAACAGCCTCATAAGCAGCTGTGAAGACCAGTGGGCATCTGGTTGCAGTTCTATACCCTGATAGGGAAATACTTGCAGCCCTTGTGAAGTCTTGGTCTGCACCATGGATCCCATAGCAGGATGGGTGTAGAATTGGTCAGTCACCCCAAGGACGGGTGTAACCCAGATGCTTACCCTAGGAAAGTGGGGTGTGTATTTGGAATAAAGGAGTGCTTTTTTCTACCAGTTCTTTATCCTATGAGCTCCAACAGATTCTAGGGCCAGTTCAATACACAACTGAGGAAGTACTTGACAGACAGGCAGAGGGACTTGGTTCTATAGAATGTTCCACCCATCACATTTGGGTCTCTGATGGCCCAGTGGAACTCATGGAAGGCTGTGCCTCCCATGGAATTGCTAACAAAGTGGTGTTATCAAGGACACACCTACAGATGAAAGGACAAGTAATCACAGGCACTCGCACAGGCAAGTCACATCCACTGGGAGATACATGCCAGCTTTGAGTCCTGGACAGCTGCCCGTGGTGGCTTCCCGGTATGGTGATACCACGCTGGTACAGCTTGGTCCTGAACTTCAGCAGGCTCTGCTGTATGCAACAGCACTGCAAAACTCATACTGGGCCAAAGGGAAATAACAAACGTGCCTTTAAAAATCTATCTGTCCTATCTGCAGGACCTGGCCAAGTCACATGTACCTAGGGGGAGAGGGAATTCACTAGTCCCCATGGTATCACAAGGAGATCACACTCCAAACCTTTCCCCCATAGGGCCAATAGGGCTACGCAGTGAAGTGGGGGAGGCGTTTATTGTCCAGACCATGTCCAATGCACAATTTACCCCCAAATTCAAGCCCGTGGAAGCAGGCAAGAGAACATTCCCTTGCTGCCCAAACCCAGGCTTAAGTACAATATCCTTCCTTACCTGGATATGTATTAAGGCAGCAAAATGGAGTCTTAGGCTCAATAAGGGTGTTGTGTGGTGCACCAACACCTCCCTCTCATCAGGATGATCATTCAGAGTTCTCACGATTCCCCACAGGTGCTGCACTCATCCTTTAGTTGACTGGAGTCCTAAGTCTTTGCTTGAGAAGGCCAGTATCTCTCTCTGCCTGCAGGCTGTGGGTGGTATGGGACATGCAGCTCCCATTGAATTTGTAGCTGAATTGTCCATGGCTGCACATCCTGACCTGTGAAATGGGTCCCTTAATCACACCTTCTTGTGGTGGGCCAGTGGTGCAAGGCTGTTAACACTGTGAGTTCTGATGTATGACCTCTCTGGTGAATCCAGACTATGTTTCTGGACAATTGTACATAGCTGGGAAAGACTTTTATTGCCATCTCAATATGGGATGAAACTAAGGCAGCCATTGTGATAGCAGTCCAGGTGTAACTCAGAGCCTCTTGCCTGTGGTTGGGGTACTCTGTGTGTGATGGAATGTCTTGGCTCCCATATGAAACTTCAGAACTAAGAAATCTGATTTCCCAGTGTTTGGAGAAAATGGAAGGTACAAAAACTGTGGGTTGGGTACCTAGAGGCTCTTGCCCAACTATCCAACCAGATATCATAGAACAAGGATGATGATTATGCCAGAGTCACATGGTACTCTAGAACTCATGAGTAACTAACTATACCTCCCATAGAATAGGACAGAGAATTGCACTTGGAGTTATCTATACCTCCCTCCTACCATAGGCCAAACCTTGCTCCAGATGCCTTCCAATTGGGAGACTGTACAATCCTGATATAGAGTGTGCCAGACACCTTGGATGTTTTTACCACAGCGGGTTTCCCTGATGACTGAAATGCAGATAATTTCCTTGGCTGATTACACAGCCTGAGCCTTAAATCATACAAATCATACATGTCTCTAGTAAATGAAGAAATAGATGTAAAGTTGTACTACCAAATCACATATCACTTAATTTCCTAACAAAAAACACACGTAGGGGTACATACTATGTTTGGTACTGAGTGTTAGATGTATATTCCAGATCACTCAAAAAATTTTAGAATGGCTTTAGCATATATGACCTCTGAAGTGGCAGCTATATAGCAATTGACCAGTGATCCTTTGCAGAAATAGTGCACTTGTCTATCTGCCACATAGAGATGGCTTTTAGTAATCCTAGGTAGTGGGGCTTGCTTTCTGGTTGTATTGTTGTTGTGGCCTGTGGATACAGGGCTCTGCCCTCCTCACTAAGGGATCTCTGCAGAAAACTTCAAATGTGTAGATTATATACTGAGGAACCCTAAAAGGGGAAATTGTAGGGCAAGCCCAAGATGGCTATAGTTATGTTCCATGGTCCATGGCTAATAAAACTTGGGCTCTGTCCTCAGGACTGATATGAATGCAGTGTGAAATGGGGGCTTCCCAATGCAGACAACCATGGCAGGAGGGCAAAGGTATGAAGCCCAGTGGCCCAGAGCCTTCACACAAAGGCTAGAAGCACAGGCTGATTAGTGGCTATAAGATGACATTGGAGTCTCCATGCACCTGCTCAAAATTAGCTAAAATTGATTCATGTTATACAAGTCTCTAGGGACTTCCTAATAGTAGCCGAGAAAGAAGAAGAGTAAATGAATGTCCACACAGATTTGGGACTCTTTTACTACTAGAAGAAAGCATCAGAATTGAATTATTTTATGTCATAATATTTAAAGAACCATCTGCACTATATTCTCATTGCTGATTGTGATAAATAGTACATAACGGAAATTACCATTTAACTGCTCATTCCAGTGGCATTAATTATAAACACAGTTGTACAATCATCATTAGCATCATCATGGATCCCCACAAATATTTCCTATTCCAAAAATGAAATTTTAACACAGTTTTAAAAGCCCCCTTTGTACGTCTGTCTCCCAAAAGTGACAAAACCCATTCTACTAAGAAACTCACTGAGGAATTAAAGAACACCAACTAAAAACTAATGTGACTAGAGACAATGAACTATTGCTTGTGCTATCTTTTCCTCCTTATATTCCAAATGGATTCCAGGGATTCTAAGTTTAAGCTATTCTCCTGTGCAGCCTCCTCAGGGAATTTTTAATTTCCTTGTTCCTCAGGCTGTAGATGAAGGGGTTCAGCATGGGGGTGACCACAGTGTACATCATTGATGCCAACACACTGTTTTGGGGGGAATGTGACATAACTGAACCAAGGTACTCTACAATTCCTGTTCCATAAAATAGACAAACAACTGCCAGGTGAGACCCACAGGTGGAGAAGGCTTTGTACTTCCCGCCTGAGGATGGAATTTTCAGAATTGATGATAATATCTTAGAGTAAGAGAGAAGGATTCCCGAGACAGGAAGAAAACCAAATATGGCAACAAGACAATAAATGACTATGCTCCTGTTAAAGGAATCAAAACAGGCAAGAGTAAGAACTTGAGAAGGGTGACAGAAGTAATTGGAAATTTCTATATCCTTGAAATAGGTAAACTGTAATGCAATTAAATTGTGTATCTGGGAGTCCAAAAGGCTAACTAAAAATGACACCAAAACCAGGAAGGCACAGAGGGATGGGTTCATGATATCTGGATAGTGCAGGGGGTGACAGATGGCCACAAACCGGTCATAGGCCATCACAGTCAGAAGCATGTCATCCATGCAGACAAAAATGATGAAAAGAGACATCTGTGTCAGGCATCCCACGTAGGAGATGGCTCTGCTGTGAGTTTGGATGTTCGCGAGCATCTTGGGGACCGTGGTAGAGATGAAGCCGATGTCAGCCAAGGACAGGTTGGAGAGGAAGAAGTACATGGGGGTGTGGAGGTGCGAGTCAGAGCTGACAGCCAGGATTATGAGCAGGTTCCCAAGCACTGTGACCAGGTACATGGACAGGAACAATCCAAAGAGGATGGGCTGCAGGTCTGGGTCCTCTGAGAGTCCCGTGAGATGGAATTTTGATACAGATGTTAGGTTTGGGGGGTTTATATTGCTTGGACACCTTTTGAGTTGAAGAAATAAGCATTGGAAGAATGAATAAAGATTAGATTAAGGAAAGAACATAATAGTAATGCAGTGTTCTTTGTTGTGGGGGGTGTCCAGGAATTGAATGCAGGGGTGCTTAACCACTGAGCCACATCTGCAGCCCTTTTTATGTTATTTTGAGACAGGGCCTCACTAAGTTGCTTAGGGTCTCACTAAAGTGCTGAGGCTGGCTTTAAACTTGGCAATGCTCCTGCCTCAGCCTCCTGAGCCCCTGGGATTACAGGTACACCACCATGCCAGGTTTCAGTATTCTTTATATGCTTAGAATTTCTGTATTCACATATGAAGTTTTTATATTTCTTTTTATATATCTTCAGAAATACTTCTGTCTTTTAACAAACTCAATTTTCAGAGAATTCTCCCATTAATGGTTGCTGTTATTTACCATGCTCTGTATACACCTGCTTTATTTATACTAAGCAGAGCAATATTAGAAGACCAAGAGTGTCACAGATAACAAATCCTCATACACAACAAAGTACAAACTACTCTTTTTAGAAAAGTAAAACATAAGACATATCTTTCCCACTGTTGGATAAAAGTCCATCATCAGAGGAATTTAAGAAATTGTCAAATATAACTTTTTATTCTAAGGCAATGGTACAATTTCCCTTTATTAAAATGTTTGTCAATATGGTATCAGAGCTAAGACTATATTATTTTATCAATTCATTATTACAAAACATTGATATTTGACAATTATCTTACAGGAGTTTTTCATCACCCTTGTGTTTAAATGTCATTCACCTTTGTGAACATATATGCCCAGGAAATATATTTTGTTTTTTTAAAAAATTATTTAATGTAAATACTCCAGCTTTTATAACCTTCAAATTTTCACAAATACGATTTGGGTAAATGCACATAATAATATGAAGTCACTACTGTAAATGTGACATTAGCGTATATTGCACCTGTAAGTCAAGCTTAAGAAATAATGTAAAGAAACTTGTTTTTTAATAAGGCAGGGAAACTAGGGAAGAATAGCATTACAGTATATTAGGTACAAGGAAGGGATGGGAGGGGCGGAGATGGGATGTGGGGATAAGAAAGATAGTGGAATGAAACAGACATTACTACTGGATATATGTATGTGACTACATGACCAATGTGATTCTTCAACATGTACACTCAGGAAAATGAGAAACTATATCCCATCTATGTATGATCTATCAAAGTGTATGAATGCATTCTACTGTCATATATAACTAATTAAAACAAATAAAAATTTTTTTAAAGTTTTTAAACTTGGAACTTGTTTTTAAATTTTGGGTGGTTTTGGTTTTTGTTGTTGTTTAACTCATACTATCTCAAAGGAAGATAATTTTTTTCCCTCTTGATTCTGCATTCTATAATGGCCTGCCAGTCCTGCTTTGTTATTTGTTCTGATCATGAACCTTTCTTTTTCATTTGAAAATTTGGAGCTAAGAGTAGACCCAAAAATCATAAATGTGAATTGGAAGTAGGAACCTTCTTAGGCTGAGTTAGTTGGTTTCACATCAATTCTGCCTGATACATAAATTGTAGTTCTCCTACTTCAGCTACTTGAAGACAACCTGGGCACATTATTTTTTGTCAACTCACACTATGATTTCCTTGTGGAAAATACAAAAGAGAAAGGTACCTGAAATAATGTGACAATGCCAAGACACTGTCCTCATCTTTAAAATGGTAATAATTATGAAGGCAGTAGGACCAGACGGTGCCATAAAGGAATCCTAGATGATGTTTTTTTCATTGTGCACATTAATTATGCAGAATTCTGAGTTTTATTGCTGTACGTTGGTTCATGCATCTAACAAAATTTGATCAATTTCACTTCCCAATATCCCCTGGCCCTCCCCTCCTTACTGCCCTGATCTCTTCTACCTTGTTGGTCTCAATTTTATATCATAAAATAAAAGGTTTTGAAAAATCTTTCAAGTTGTCTGGGTTATGTTTCTCAGTTTCTTTAATCAATATATTTGCCTATGGATATTTTATTATATATTGATTCTGTAGCTTCACTCCAAACCAATTCTATCAGGAGTGTCTGTATGTGAAGGTCTCCAGGGTCCTTTACTACATCAGCTTTGAGAATCACTGCCTTAGAAACCAGGCACTTATCAAATGTTTCATTAAGATTGTTACCAAGAGTACCCACTACCTACATTAAAATACAAACATTTAATGATGCATGCTTCAGGCCTGATGTTTTACACACATTTGAATCATGACATTGAATTTGAACGCTTAGTATTTGCAAGATCCACCTGTTCCCCAAAGGCAAATTCTGTCATGAATCTGATGGGTAGATTTTCCTATCAATGTTTCCATCTCAGTATTGACTTAGGTCTCTGTAAAAAAATTTTTTTTTCTAAAACTTACCTAAAAGTTCCTAAAGCTCATGTAAACAGTGTGAATTACCTGTTTTACCTAAAATGTACTACTAGTTTACTATTTACTTTGGCATGTGGTTTTAAATCTGCCAAGTACAAATATTAGCCTGAACTGTTTTAGTTCATGCACACAATTACCTGAAAGAGGGGCCTCATTTATCAATGCTTTATTAGGACACAAAATTTTTCAAAATTCTTTTGCTTGTCTCCACATCACACTACTGAAAAGTCTCATGCATCATCAGGGTATAGGATAGTTATGTGACTTCCAACAACTGATGTATATTCAGTTTTACTGCAAAACACCTATATTTGGTGTCCCAATTAAAGGCAGGCATTATTATTAATATCCTTAACATATACCATCAACACTTCCTTACAGGGCATCAATTCATAATTCTCTCATAAAGAATCAACAAGGAATTCCATCTTCTCTCAGGAATCACATTTCTATTTCACTCCACTAGAGGAGATGGTGCCTGGGGTGGGAGTCAGGAAATCACCATTTCCATGAGTAGTCACTTACCTGTGGCTGGATGCAGGTGTATGTGACACTCTCCACCTCTATCAACTTATATACCCACTGCTAGGGGCAGAGCACCTGTCTCCACATGTCATATAAGTGAAGTCTGAACTTAAAACGGTTTGGTCATTGTGGTTACTTTTTTTTTAAATACAGAATATTATGGGAATAGTGAGTTACCAATGAATGTGAATGTTAAAACACTAATACTGGAATGATACAAAGCCCTGACATGTATCATGTCCCAAGTCAAGCCCTTGTCTCTAGTTCCATGGGACACTCCTGAAAGGGATTGAAGTGCAGGAGGAAAACTCCAAGTGTCTGAAGCTGCACTGATTATGGTCGAGGTTTGTGAACTAAGAAAGGGTCTCTTCAATATTTAAAGAGCTTTTTGTTGTTTAGTCCTCATCTGGGCCTAGAAGATATAGGCTCTGGGGAATTATTATTCCTCTCCAAATATACAACTAATATTTATAAAAGGAGAAAAATTAAATGTCTTGTTATAGAAATAGGAGAATTTTCACTTCAGACTGGAAGTGTGGTACAAGATTGAATTTATAATACTGATATCTAGATTTTCCCTTCCTTATGACGGATCACAGTAAGAGCAACTGCTTAATCTGTTGTCTTGCAGCTGTATGGACTAGGTAGATGTCTGCTCAGATGACAATGCTGAGTTAGAGATAATAACACTCTGCCTCAGTGTTCAGAAATAAACAGGTGCCAAAAGGAGAGAAAATTAAATTTGTAGCCTCTCAGTCCCATGCAATAAATCTTTCATTGTTCCCAAATCTTAGAAATTTGAAGCACAGATGTAGACCTTTAACTAAACCTATATCTGAGAAACATATTTTAGCTGTTTCTAGTTTCCTAGGAATGGAATCAAGCCCTGACTTCAGGTCTTTGAGTTTGGGTGGGCTGAGTACAAGTTCCCAGGAGGGTGTGCACAGCTGCAGGGATCTCCTGGACTAGGCAAGAGTCAGGTCTGTGCTGAACCCTACTTTTCTGCTCTTTCGTGATCTGTGCCCATGGACTGGGGCTGTGCTTCCAACAGAGGATGGCTGATGCCACCCACTGCTCTGCCCTATGATCTAGCAGATTAGGAAAAAAAATTTAAAAAGAACCAAGAGAGCAAGGCATCTCTTCCTGGAGTGACACAAAATAAAAAGGACATTTGGGTTGTCAAGGGGACATCCTGCCAGTATTTGTAGAGCAAGATGTCCTGTCTATAATCAGACAGGCTGGTGAAAACAGAACTCACTCTTTCCTACCTCAAAACCTCATGCAAGTTACTAAAAATGCTGTCTCTTTCTATTTATGTAAAATCATAATGTGGGCATTTATAACAACAGAAAAGCTGTGCAGATGAAATGTAAACAAGCAACATAACTAGTGCCTGGGATTTAAAGAGCTCTCGGGAATGCTCCATGATGTTGTGGTTGGTGTCTTCCTCCTCCTGCTTCCTATGGTCCCCTTGCTAATCTTTTGGAGTGCTTATAGAACAGTGGAAAGGGGCCCATTTTCTCCTAGACAGTGAGTGAGCTATCTATGGGAAGAAAGAAAAGCATTGAATAAGATTTTGGGGACCTTGAACATGACCAAGAACACAAACTTCACTGTCCTCAAAGCTAAAATTTTGCATATCGGTGCCTCTTCTCTGGCTACAAAATTGCCTGTTGGTCCTAGTGAGGAGGACCCATAATCCCTCCTGCACCTATCATTTCCCTCAGCACTTACTGGGTGATGCTGGGTCTCTGTTGGGTCATGACCAAGGTCTGAGGATCCAACACGTCACCTCTGCCAAATTTCTGCCTGAGGCTTGGACTTGATTCTCAGGATTGATATGAATAAGTGTAAGATAGCAACTTCCCAATTCAGAAAACCACAGTAGGAGAGATCTGATGTGTGGAGCCCACTGGACTGGAGCATCATGCTGAAGCCTGGATGCAGGAGAAGTTTTACCTACTATATAGCACGGAGGCTCCATGCTTAGAGCTATAATTAGCTAAATTGGTTCATGCTCTCCAAATCTCCAAGGACTTCCTAATATTAGTGGTGGAAGAAGAAGAGTAATGAATGCCCAAAAGGTTGTGGATATTTCCTGCATTCAGCAGAATATTGTCTACAATATTCCCTTCTCTTGGGTCCCTTTATTAACACCTAACTAATTCTACATATAAATGGGATTCTGTGCCATGGATCCCAGTCTCATTATTCTGCAGCTATCAGTGTCATCCATCTCCATTCATATTTCGTCTTCTGAAAGTGAACATTTGTGTCCATTTAAAAATCTTCCCATTCCTTCCTCCCCCAACCCGGGCTACCTCTATTTTTGTAGTTTGATGTCTGTAATTTCGACCATGTTGAAACATATTCTTTGGGGTATAGATGAAGGGGAGGTCAGCAGAGGGGTGACAACAGTGTGCATCCCTGTAACTGCTGCCCTGTTTTTAGGTGACTGTGATACAGCAGAACCATGGTGCATCCCAAGTTTTTGCCATACAAATAGCCACAAGCAAAAAAGTCAGACCCAGAAGAGCAAAGGCTTTAGACTTCCAAGTTGATGGAGAAAAAAAATTTATAGTAAAAGAAACAGATCTCTGAGATAGGCAGAGACCCAGAAATTGCAGCAAGAAAATACATGACTACATTATTGATAAATGTATAAGAACAGAAAAGATGAAGAAATTGAGAAGGGTCATAGAAGAAAATAGCAACTTCCACAACCTTGAAGTTAGGAAATTGTAAGACACTCAAATTATGCCACAGTAGTCCAAAAGGCTGATCTAGAAATTCATTCACACTAGCAATGATGAGGGTTCATGATGACTGCATAATGCAGGGGGGATTCTTGTCCTTTATTTTTTTTAACTGTGGTTTGGGAAAAAAACAATCTTTGGGCTTCCTTTTTCTCTTTGTCTGCTCATTAAGATCCCTGTGTTAATCTTTGAATAATTGAACGTTGTCGTTATTATTACATGACATCTTAGGACCCAGGAATGAATGACACTGACTTTAAAGAAGGTTTGTATAACATCTCTTTTGTCTCCTCTTAAGATTGAGCAGGCTGGTTATGAGACCAGAGGAGGACACAGGCAGCTGCAAGAAGAGAGATCTGTGCTAATCACTGTGTATCCAATCTTCATGTGATGGAAATCTGTCATCTATAGTCATCCTTCCCAGAGTTTACTCAGGAGTTGCTGACTATTTCTCTTGCTGTGCTGTACCAGGAACCTCTAAAAGGAATAGCACAGTGAGAAAAGGGTCTCTTTCTGGAAAGACAGGCAAGTGAAACCAATGGTTGGGTTGTCAAGGAGGAAGCATTCCAAAATTCTCCTGCTTTGATGCCCTGTGTCTATAATCAGACAAACCATGCAAATGTGCCTTATCAATATTCTACCAAACCACCTCATATTAGCTACATAAAAATGCAGTGCTTCCTTCTTTTCTGAATAACAATAATAATAATAATATAGAAGCTTAGACTTGGGCAAGTTAATGCAGATGAAATGAAATGAGTTATAGAGAATATATAAATCAGATCCTGGCACTTAGGACTCTCTCCAAGTCAGTCCATGACATTAGGGACACTATCATCCTCTTCTTCTTTCTCAGCATTATTTTCATAATCCTTTTGGAGTACATATGAAACAGATTTCAGGGATCCAAATTTTCCTGTTGGGGTTAAGCTATCTAGGGGGAGTAGGGGTATCCCCATCATATCCAAATACATAAAGTCCACAAAACTCATATCTGAAATGTGCATGTTGGTATTCTTCCACCTTTTTAATGCCTTTATTAGTGTGTTACATTATACATAATATCTGGGCTCTTTTGATATAAAAACACATGCATGCAATATAATTTTCTCCACTTCAGTCCCCAGTACCTCCCCTTGCCCTTCCCTCTTCCCTCCACCTGTTCCCCTTACTTTACTCTACTGGTCTTCATTTTATCTATTTACATTTTAAAAAGTTTGTTCTCATGAGGGTAAAAAATGGTTCCACCCCGAGCACTTAATGTGTTCTTCAAGTAGGATAAGTGTACGGTGATCCAATTGCGCAGTTGGGAGTCCAGAGGAAGGGGTGGAGTCACGGCCTTATTATTTATTGCTGTAAGACCTTGGAGGCCCAACACACAGAGCTCATACTCAGTCATGTTGATATACAAAATTCAAGTCTCAAAGGACTTCCTCCTATTAGTGGAGGAAGAAGCGAAAATGAATGTCTACAGTAAGTTTGGGTTCTTCCTACACTCAGGAGAAAGTTTGTGTGTACTATTCACTTCTGATTTTCTCTTTTTCCCTAAGGATCCATCTTCTTTTTACATCTAAACTGAAAATATCAAAATACAGATAAACAGTGGCAGTGATTATAGGCACTTCCTTGTGCAAGCATCACCTCCTTCTATCTCCAGAACTATTTCACCTTCCAAAACTGAGACTTTATACCAATTTTTAAAACTTCCCATTCCTCCCCCAGCCATGGAAACCTTCTTTCTACTATGAAGCATGATGAGAAATTAAAGCTATCAAACTACAAAATATAATGTGACCAATGTGGTAGATTTAATGTCTGGAAGTTTAGTTCTGTTGTTGCCAGCATACATTCCAAATGGATTCCAGAGGACCTGAGATCACACTGCTCTCCTGTGCAGCCTCCACAGGGCACTTTTAATGTCCCTGTTATTCAGGCTGTAGATGAAGGGGTTCAGCATGGGGGTGACCACAGTGTACATCACTGAGGCCACTGTACCTTTTTTGGTGGAAGATGACTTATTGGAAAAAAGGTACACTCCTATGCCAGTTCCATAAAATAAGCAAACTACTGAGAGGTGAGAGCCACAGGTGGAGAAGGCTTTGTACTTCCCACCTGAGGATGGGATTCTCAGAATGGAGGAAATAATTTTGTAATAAGAAAAAATGATCCCTAAGAGAGGAAGGAAACCATAGATGGCACCAACAAAATACATGAGTATATTTACAGTAAAGGTATCAGAACAGGCAAGACCAAGGACTTGAGAAGGGTCACAGAAGAAGTTAGCGATGTCCACATTCTCAAAGTAGGAAAAGTGTATAGTGATCAAATTGTGCACTTGGGAATCCAAAAGGCCAAACAAGAAAGACACCAAAACTAACCTGACACAGAGGCGAGGGTTCATGATGACTGCATAATGGAGGGGGTGACAGATGGCTACAAACCGGTCATAGGCCATCAGAGTCAGAAGCAGATCATCCATGCATAGAAAAAGGATAAAAAGAGACATCTGAGTCAGGCAGCCCACGAAGGAGATGACTCCACTATGAGTGTGAATGTTCACCAGCATCTCTGGGACCGTGGTGGAGATAAAACCAATGTCAGCCAAGGACAGGTTGGAGAGGAAGAAGTACATGGGGGTGTGGAGGTGGGAGTCAGAGCTGACAGCCAGGATGATGAGCAGGTTCCCAAGCACTGCTACCAGGTACATGGACAGGAACAGCCTGAAGATGATGGGTTGAAGGTCTGGGTCCTCTGAAAGTCCCAAGAGATGGAATTCTGAGATACCTGTTAGATTTTGTGGTTCTCTAGTTCTTGGACACCTTTTGAAACAGAAAAGAGGATATTAAAAAAGTAAACAAACAGCAGGAAACACATATTCAAACAATCCTACACATTCCTTTGTTTTAGAATATTTAAAATAAAGACTACATTATATCAACACTAAAGTTAAATTGGTTTATATCAGAAAATTTGTTCCAGATTTATCCCAAAGCTATTTTGGCTTCTGGTATTTTTTTATTTCCCTCATTTGTGAAAGAATCCCTCTATCAAATTTTATTTGCATTTTAAAAAATATTTAAAATAGAACATGTATACTCAGCCTGGTAGACTTCAAATTTTAATAAATAAGGTAAATGCACATAAGCAATGTCATCATCGACCTCAAATGTAGGCTTTGTGTGCACTGAACCTATCAGTGATGAAACAGCCATGAAATACTAAGTAGCAGACTAGAAATTTATATTTCATGTTGGTTTATTTATATTGATCCCTTATAATCTCAATAAAATATCTAGTGAGGAAGATGTTCTTTGGCTTTTAAAAAACTTTTATTTTCCACTGGTCATTATATTTCCGATCATAAATTCTCCTACATATTGTTGAGAATTTTTGCATCAGGAATGTCCCCCAAGCCCAAATATTAGTACTACTCTTCTTATGCCATGTAATAGAATTTTAATGTCCTTACTTCCTGGAACTCCGATGCAATTCTCTTACCTCAGCTACTGTAAGGTGACTCAGAGTTATTTGTTTTATGAGGTCACAATATGATATCATTAAAAAAAGCAGAAGAAAAAAGTAGAGAAAATAAAATAAACCCTCCTGGGCCATTTGTTCATGTCTAAAATGGGGACAATAATTACCTAGCTTATTGTGAGACTGCAGAATAGTTTACAATTATTTTATTTAAATTGCACAGTCTAGTGTTTCTAAGTCTTGTTTATCATTGCATTTAGCTATGATTATTTTAAAATATCATGATGCCCTGGCATTGGACAAACACTAACATAATCAGAGCATCTTCAAGTGAAGTTCTTCGTGTTCTTTCCTAGGCCAGAGTTGAGAGTACTCTCTGGTATTGAGAACACAGTACTCTGAACCCTATTTAACTATTAATCACCCATATTTGGTGTGTCAATTGAAAATGAGTTCTAGGATAGGCACAATGGCACACTCCTGTAATCCCAGTGGCTTGGAGGCTGAGGCAGGAGCATTGCAAGTTCAAAGCCAGCCGCAGTAACTTAGCAAGGCCCTAAGCAACTTAGTGAAACCTTGTCTCTAAAAAAAAAAAAAATTAGAAAGGGGTACTGGGGATGTAGCTCAGTGAAAACCTCTGGTTTCAATCTCAGTAACAAAACAAACAAAATCAGTTCTAGTCAAACACAACCTATAACTCTTAGTTTATACTGTTATAAATATTGCTTATGTCTATCTGGTCATAATCCTTGCAGGATTATTGATCAAGAAACTTTATCTTATAAAGGGAATAATATTTTAATTTGGCTCCAGTACAGAACACAGTACTCTGATCTGAGAGTCAGGAAATCAACATTTAATCTTGGATCATTAACCTGCAACTATATGATGAATGTGTGCACATCTTTCCAGCTGTCTGGGTGCACACTGCTTAAAGAAATAGGGACAAACACACCCATGTCTTCCACATATAAGCCATGAAAGGAAAGTTTGGAAACTAACATACATTTTGTTATTGTCTTGTCTTTCCAAACAAAGAAATCCAATCTTATGAAAATGGCAAGTTAATTGACTCAAACAATTTTCAAAACCCAGGGAAGCCTGGAATGATAGAACTTAAAAATATGAATTAGCTTAACATAAAGAACACCTGTCTACTTCTCTTTCTCCCTCTTTCCTTTTTAATGCTAATACATACCTCTGCAATTTCCTTTGAGTAATGTAATACTGTAGATGCTGTTAAATAAAAAATATGAGGGTCATGTGTCCATGAGGCATAAAAGACATAAGCAAGAACTATTATTTCTTGTTTCCTGTTCTTTCTGACTTTCCTGAAAGGGACAAAAGTGCAGATGGAAAGCACCGAATATGTTGAAGCCACACTGATATGGACACGTTCTGTGCAAGGAAGCGACTACCCAACATTTAACAGAGAGTCCTTTTATTTTTGATGCCTCCTTTTATTTTTGATTCCCTCCACAAACAAGGGAAGATCTGATGAATCAGAAATGAAAAAAGAATTCGGCATCTCCTTCCAGATACACAGCCTACACTTATGAAAGGACAAAATAAAATGTCCCATTACAGAAATAGAAAAACAATAACTTCAAATATCATGATATTTTAGTTAAATTGTATGAAGATTAAAATAATAATAATAATAATTATTATTATTATTATTATTATTATATCAATTGCCTTTCCTCCTTTTTATCTATTTATCACATCTTAATCATGCAGGGAATACCCATATATAAATTTAACTTACCCTTAATGAAGTTGTATTAACTAGAAATTAACTAAAATATACTGAAAATCTATCTGTGTCACTGATATAACAGGTGTGAGGGGCAGATTCACAATTAATATTTGATGTCTGGGTCCAGAGCAGTAAATGTTTTCATTGTTTTCCAATCATCAGTAAGTTTTAAGCAGATATTCAGAGGTCTCGATGACAGGGATATCTGAGGAACTTTGGAAGACTCTTCCCAGTACAAGGAAATCAAGTCTTTCAAGATATGAATTTAAGTATTCTTTTGAAGTGGGTTTGTAGATTACAAAAATGCAGGCGTTTGTGGACAGATCCAAAACATCCTGAAGTGGGTCAGGAGGGAAATCTGTGCTGAACTGTGATTGTCTACCTTTTCTGTGATCCTTGCCTATGATCTTAGCTACCCCTCTTATACTTGATGCAGCAGGTGCCAGCCACTGCTCTGCCCTGTGAAGGATATAGTGATCGAAGGGTCTCTTCCTGGAGTGACAGAGAAGTGCAATTTACTGTTGGGTTGTCAGGAGGAAACCCAGCAGGATTCTCTTGGCAGGATGCTCTGTGTCTATATTCAGACAGACCCATTCAAAATCTCTTCAGTCTGTTTTACCTAACAGTCTGATAGCAGTTACATAAAAATTCTTTGTTTTTTTTTTTCATTTTATGGAAAATAAGGTGGACACTTACAATATGGGAGAAACTATGCAGATTAAATGAAATGAAGCAAGCTATAAAAAGTCAGAGCTTGACACTCAGGAATCCCTCAAACATGGTTCATGATGCGATGGTTGCTACCATCCTGCTCCTCCTCATCATCCCCTTCATTATTTTTTTGTAGTACTTAGGAAACACTGTTGGGGAACCCATTTAAATGTTCATGGGTGAGGTGTGCCTGGCAAGCACAGCAAGTATAGGAAGAAAGCAAATCTTTGCATGAGTCTTCTGGGACCCAAACACAACACAGAACACAATTTCATACTCATCATGGGTATGATTTTTTGTCACTCGCCTCCCCTCTGACTACCCACTGTGATGTGTTTGTCCTGATGAGGAGAAAACAATATTTCCAATGGTCCTCCCTCCCTCCATCATCTCCCTCAGCACTTACTGGTTTAAGCTGCCTCTCTGCTGGGACATGACTGAGGAATGCAATTCAAATACCACACCTCATGCCCAGTGAAGGACTCTGCTCTCTCTGTGGGCTCGGTGTGAATACAAGGTAAGATGTAAGCCTCCTTATGCAACCCTGGGAGGGTGGTCACAAGTATGGATCCCACTGGACTGGAGCCATCAGACTGAAGGGCTGGAGGCACTGGAGGCAACGGCTGATTCTTATTACAACATGACCTTGGAGGTTCAATGCACAGAGGTGATCATTAGCCAAATTGGTCCATGTTACCCCAATCCCAATCTCTAAGTATTTCTTAATAGTAGTTGAGGGAAAAAGAGCTGAAGACCAAAGTTTTGGCCCCTGTACTATTCACTTGGTTTGTTCTTTCTCTTTTTATTTTAAAGCCCACTTGTATTTTTCCATTCTTTTTTATAGTGAAATATACATTTAACATTGCCATTTCAGCACTTTTTTGCTCACTTGACGGTACTAATCACCTTCACCTTGGTGTTCAGCTATCATCAACATCTATTTCCAGAAAATTTCTGCTTCCCAAAGTGAAACTTTGAACCCATTTTAAAATCTCTATATTTCTCCCTCTCTCCACACTGGCAAAGACCACTCTTTAAGTTTATAAGTGAAACATGATAAGGAATTAAAGTCTAAAATGTACAAAACTAATGTAAGCAAGAGGCACCATTTACAGGTATACATGTTTAGCTTTGCTGCCAAGTCCAAACTCTATACCAAATGAATGTCAAAGGTACTGAGATCAGATTCTTCTGCTCTGGAGACTCCTTAGGGATCTCTTCCTCAAGGTGTAAATGAAAAAAAAAACAACAAACATGTATATCACTGAGGCTTCTGTACCCTTTCTGGAAGAATGTGATGCAGATGAATAAGTACACCTCACAGCCTGCTCCATAAAATAAACAAACAGCTGCCAGGGGAGATCCACAAGTGGAGAAGGCTTTGGGTGTCCCATCCAATGATGGTATGCTCAGGATGGAGGAAATAATTTCATAGTAAGAGAAAAAGATTCCCATAGAAAGAAATCCAGGATGGCAACATCAAAATACAGGACTATATAATTGATGAAGATTTCAGAACAGGTAGAATTAATAAATTGACAATTGTCAGAGAAAAAAATTAGAAACTTCCACATCCTTGAAGCAGGTAAAAATATAACTGAATTAAATCATGTTATCTGAGAATCCAAAAGGTTATCCTAAAATGACATCAAAATTAAGAAGCCACAGAACCAAGGGTTCATAATAGCTGGATAATTCAGGACGTGACAGATTTCTACAAACTGGTCATAGGCTATCACAGTCTGAAGCATACCATTCCTATCTCTGAAAATATAAACAGAGACATCTGTGTCAGGAAGCCTACATACATGACTCGACTCTGAATTGGTATGTCCACAATCATCTTTGAGACCATGGTGGTAATGAAGCAGATGTCAGTCAAGGACAGGTTGGAGAGGAAGTACATGGGGGTGTGGAGGTGGGAGTCAGAGCTGACGGCCAGGATGATGAGCAGGTTCCCAAGCACTGTGACCAGGTACATGGACAGGAACAGTCCAAAAGTACGGGATGCAGGTTTGGGTCCTTGGAGAAACTCACAAAAAGGAATTCTGAGACCTACGTTACATTTTATGATTCTCTATTTCTTAGATATTTTGAAAACTTAAAATGCATAAGAAAATGGAACCAAGAGGCATTCAGTTCTCATTATTTGGAATTCTAGTATGCAAAAG